TTTGCCAACGTGCGAGTTCGAGGGCCTAAAGGTTACTTGCGCCGTGGGCCGCAGGAGCGAAGAAATCGCTGAAGTGCGCGGACATCACCTCTGCCTACTTCCAGGGGGGGGAATCAGAGCGCCTCGCGATGCTCATGCCACCTCCTGGCGGACTCGAGGGGGCACTGGATGGTGGAGCTCTTATCGCGCGCGTGCCTGTCTGCGGCGCGCGGGGCGCGGGGAGAGTTTCACGGGGGGAAATCCGCGAGAGATTCGAAGCTCACGGACCCAGAAAGAATCGTATTATACCAGCCATATTCAGTATACATAGCGATAAAAATGGAATTACGTGCATGGTGGGATCACATGTAAATGACATTCTTTCGGTAACACACGCCGAAAGTCAGAAGATCATTGATTCCTTGTTGCCGAATTCGACACTCGCGAAATCAATTCGGACAATTTCCGCTGCTGCGGACTTGGAAGTTGTTCAAGATGCAGACTATACCGTCAGTATATCGGCAAAGGAAAACATGGAGAACATCGAAGCTGCATCCTATCCCAGGGACAGCCCCCTCTCCAGGAGATGCACCGAAGGAGAGGTATCTCAGCTCAGGTCAGTTGTAGGTGCTTTGTCTTCGGCTACGCGACAGTTCAAACCTGAGCTGTTGCATCGCGTGAGCCGCCTGCAGACTGCAGTGAGCTACGCGAAGGTACTCCGCCTCAAGGAGGCCAATCGCGTCCTGGAGGAAGCCGCGCAGTCCGCAGATCGCGGGTTAGCGTTCACGGGGGGCGCTGCGTTATGGGATTCAAATATTATAATTCTTGCGGTTTTTGGCGCCGGCGGGGCAGGTGAAGATGACGCAGTCAAGGGAAATGTTGAGCCGCTCATGTCTCAGAGGGCCAGGTTCAACGGGCTCGCCGGCCCTGGATTCATCGGGGGGAACCGCGACGGCGTCCACCCTCTATGTGTGTCAAGTCAGGTCATTAGACGAGCATGTAAGTCTTCGCCTCCAGCAGAGACATTGGCAGGTCTATGGGGTGCGGAATCTGGTGTGCGTAATTTGCGCTACCATCGCCAACGCGCGAGGCGCGCTTGGCGCCGGGCATAAGTTGCCGAGCAAGTGAGATGAAAAGGCAGCTATGACGACGAGGCAGACGTTTGTGGGTGACTGATTGTACAGGCCTCGAAGAACATTTGTCAGCACATACTATTGGGAAGAAGAGAAGACAAACGTTCTAGCATTTATTTGAGTAGTCTGAGGCAAGACATATGGAACCACTGGTCATAAAGAGTTTGGACGTGTTTAGCACGATGTTGTTAGTTGATGTCTCGGGGGTGGGCCGTCTCGAAGGTCGCGGCGTCTCTCGCACCGCGGCCTCGATTGCTCGAGCGGAGACGCGGGCCCATGTAGCACCGCGTTGCCGACTGGTTTGGGGCAGGTGTGATTTCCTACCTCAGCCGGTGTCCAGCGGCGCCAGCCTGCCCAGAGTGCCCGCCATATACCTGTCAGCTGACGTGCCTGGCGGTGCCCAGCTGCCCTGCCTGCCCGGGAGCTCCGTCTCCGGGGCCGCTCTCCTGCCCAGAGCCTCCCGTCTGCCCCGCGGCCGAGGCGCCGGCTGGCAGCTTCGACGGACGCGTGGCTCGTGGCTGGTATCTTCGTGCTGCTCCTGGCGGTGTCCGCAGCAGCCTGTGCCGCACTCGGAGTCGGAGCTTGCGTGTCTCGGCACTTCGGGCCCTCTCGCCGCAATGGCGCCCGAGGCCGTCCAGCTCTGGGCATGGGTCCTACGCAGCGGGGACCGCGAGTGGCAGCAACGTCGAGTCTTGGGCCGCTTGCAGCCACCGGGGATGAGTCCAGTTAGCGATATTTTGCTGGCGTGTGTTACTCCCGGCGCCGGCGTCTACTTCGAGTTGCTCGATGGCGCGAGCAGTGACTATCAAGCGGTCAGGTTCTCCTCAGCTCGACGGGCGATCCTAGCAGGCATCGATCGGGCTCGCACGTATCGGTTCAGACGCGAGCCCGCGGCTGCCGAGCTGGCCACCTTCATGGGCCACGCCCGCCAGGCCGCGGACGATCTCTTCGTGCAGCACCCAGCGGCCGCTGGGCTTCCAGCGCTGGCGCCCCCGGGCGGGGCGCTGCTCCCGTTCGTGGCGCCAGCCCCGCCGGCCGCGGGTGCCGGCGCCGTTGTCGCGGGCGGCCTGGCTCTTGCTGCAGCCTTGGGGCCTGGACTTGTGGGCGCCAACTGGGTCGCGGTGGAGTCCGCGACTTTCGGGGCCCGGGGCGCAGCTGTGGTCGTGACGGCCGGTGACACTGCGCAGGGTGACGTCGGCATCTTCACCGCCCCGGCAGACGTCGCGGCCCTGGTCAGAGATGCGCAAGGCGTCCCCGTCAGCGAGTACATGCCTATGGAGGGCCATCACGATCTTCGGCTTACCAAGGCCAGGATCATCGACGGACAGCATCGGGCGCGAGGTCGCTTCGGTCAGGGGGTTGCGCAGCTTCGAGAGTCCAGCTTCCCGGACTGGCCTGTGCCAAGACCTCGGACGGTACGCTGGCGCGCAGAGTGGCACTTCCGCCGACGAGGCTCGCCGCTCGAGCATCATCGGTCGCTCATCATGACGTTCGGCCTGCGTGTCGACGACTGGGGAGTAGAGATCCACCGCGCGGTGATGCGCTGCCTCGAGGAGAGCGTGGGCTATGATATGATCGACGTGAGCAACAGTGCGACGCTTGAGCTGCTCATGACGATGGCGCAGCTGGTCGAGTATGTGTAACACATGGACTTCCTCTCTTCCCGCGCCTCAGGGAAGGGCAAGGGCAAGCAACCCACGGCCTCGCTGCAGCACGCCGTGTTCGACGAGGCCGCCATCTTCTCAGGCGTGACCAAGGACGCGGGGGTGGCCATGGTCTGCCCAGACCTCATCACCCACGTGGCGGGCGAGGTCGAGCGCGACGCTGCATTCCTCAAGCAGGCGCGCAAGGCTCGAGAAGAACGGTCGGAGCTCGCGAAGCAGAGCAACAGGGGCCACCAGGATAAGGAGCAGGGGTGATGCTTGCCCCGCCAGGGCTAGAGAAGCCCCCCAGTCAGCCCTGGCCTCAGCATGAACCTCTGGGAGGGCCCGCCGACGCACCGTTCGATGGGCAGCCTGCTACTAGCCACCGTTTTTGGGCGGAGGCACGCCGGCGCAACCTGCTGCCTCTTTCCCGCCCGTCTTCAGTTTGGAATCGAGACCAGAGTGGGGCTGCAGTACACCTCCGCAGGTCTACACGTCGCCGGCTCTCTCGCATTGACCGCGTGGATTTATTGTGCGATGAGATTGCTGGCGCGCTCAACGACATGTACCTTGGCTCATGCTGCCCTGGGTCGTCTCGTGGTCCCACCGCTACCCAGCAGGCCAGTCTCAACCTGATTCGGCAGTCGGTCTGTGCCATGGGACACCCTCCAGGCGACATGAGTGGCCCGGGCCGAGAGCGCCTACGGCGAAGGCGCCGTGATCGCTTCTCTCAGCAAGGACACAGTCCACTTGGTTGACCTGCCCGCTTCGGGGGCCACGTCGCCGTCCTTGGAGCACCTTGCAGGGGTCCGAGGCAAAGAGATTGCTGAGCGTCTAATTCAATTGCGCTTGCCAGAACCCGCTTGCAGGGATAATGCTTTTCTTCAAGGGCCTGCTCGTCACTGCTCCGACCCTGCCCTCCGGAAGTCGCCGTCGCTCTACGCGGAGTTGTTGAGCCGCGTGATCGACTGTGATTTGGTAGAGTGGAAGTTATCCGGCGAGGTGCCTTGCGGGCTGTTTTTTTGCGAATAAGAAATTCGGGAGGTTTCGGCTGATAGTGGACGGCTGCCTACCCTCGTGTCATTTTCACGATAGTGATCCTGTTTCCTTGGCCTCGGGAGCTGCCTTTTCGGCCATAGAGGTAGACGGCAGCTCTCCCATCCAGGTCGGCTCGGTCGATATCGTTAACGCTGTTGACAACATGCAGCTGCCTGAAACCCTTTGGGAAATGATATTCTTCCGCGGATCCGAGCCGATCTGGTTGGCGTCGCGTCGGTCCACGGTCGGGCCGTTCGACGCGGGCAGTGCATGTTCCCAGTGTTGAAAGTGATCCCCACAGGATGGAAGCTGTCTCTGTGGGCCTGCCAGCAAGTTCTCGAGTGCGGAGCCCGTCTGGTTCGAGGGGTGACTGAAACCAATGCGGTGGTCGATCGTGCGCCTCATCCTGGTCTGCCTCCTTTCGCCCACGCCGAGTATGTCGACAACTTCTTTGCTTTAGGCAGGGATCATGAGGTTGCGAGGTCTGTGGCGCCCGAAGTGGAGCGCGAATTTTGTCGTGTCGACCTCCCAGCTCATCCTGTCGAAGCCGGCTCGGGGGCCATCGCCTTGTGTTGGACCTTCTCTGGGGAGAACGCCTCTGTGAGGGTGGGCCCCCGTGTGGCCTGGCGCATTCGATGGGCTATTTTACAGATACTGCGAGAGGGATTTGTGAGTGGAGACAGACGCTTACTGTTGTCATGTCACACTGCACTACTCGGGCTTTGCTTCGACGTGAGTTGTCGTGTGCTCTCCGCCTGTTACTCCTTTGCAGCTGACGCTGGTCCCAAGCGCCGCCGACTATGGGGATCTCTTTGCCGCGAGTTACGCTGGGTTTCAGCTTTGATCCTCCTATCGTCTCGGGACTTGGGCGCGGTCTTGTCTGTGGGCGTCTCGGCCGTGGATGCTTCATCTTGGGGCGGTTGTATTGTTCAGCAGAGGCTCCCGCAAGGCTCAGTGAAAAAGATGGGTTTGTACAATGAGCGTTGGAGGTTCTCTCGACAAGATGAATTGGGTCATCGTCCTCGGGATCATGCGCTCGCTCTGGCTACTCTCGGAGGCTTCCCTGCTGACGGCGTTGCTCCTGGGGCCCCCGTGGATCCCCTGCAGCATCCAGGCTCCGTCGTGCCCCCTAGCATCGGCTCCGACGTGTGGGGCGGAGACTGGCACAGGGTCCTCGCCAGGAAGTGGGCCCCGCGCGGAGGCTCAGGTGGCCCTCGAGGGTCGCGCCATGGTCTTGGCCCACCTCCACAAAACGCGGTCCCTGGCTAACTTCGGGAAGGGCCACCTCTTCTTGGGTGACGCCAAGGCTAGCATTTTGGCAGTCTCGAAGGGTCGCTCGCCATCGAAGCTGATGCGGATATGTCGGCAGATCGCTGGCCTCAACCTAGCTTGTGGTATGACTTTCCACTGGAGGTGGCTCCCGTCAGAGCACAATCCCGCCGACCGCGGCTCAAGGCGCAAGGCAGGCGACTGGGCCGAGGCTTCCCTTCGACACCGAGAGCCCGAAGAGCCCTCGTGTCATGCCCCCGCGCCGAGGCATGCTCCCGTGGGCGGCGACAGCTGCGGCCACCGTGACCGACGAGTCCGAGCCTTCGCAGCCCGCCTCGGGCGCGCCCGTGGCGCCGAGGTCAGCTCCGCTTTGGGCGGCTTCGCCCTCGCCGACACCGGCGCCGACGCTTCGGAGGACTTGCCGGAAGCGTCCTGCGAGCTGCCCGGGCCCCCGGCCCCGCGAGGCCGACCTCCGCGCCGCGAGGGCCGCCCGCCGTCGGAGGGGCAGGAGCCCACCTTCGACGAGAACGGCCTGACGCTGCTCGAGAGACGAACGGTTCAGCGCCCACAGGAGGCGAGGTACAAGCACTCGGTGACGATGTTTACCCAGTGGTGCCTGACCGAAGGCCTCCCGACGCACGCGACCTGCCAGCTCGACCAGGTGGTGGTGGCGTACTTCACCGACCATTTCTTCGCGGGCATGTCGAGCTCAGCGGGCTCGTTCTTGCTGGCGGCGCTGACGTACTGCCAACGGGGCCTGTCCGCCATGGCGCCCGAGCTGCCGCGGGCGCGGCGAGCGCTGGCGGGCTTCTTGAAGGTAACCCCGAACCGCTCCCGCTGGCCTCTGCCCTGGCCGCTCGCGGCGCTGATCGCGGTGAAGCTGTGCGAGATGGAGCAGTGGCGATCGGCGGCCGCGACCCTCCTGTGTTTCGTGTTCTACACGCGCCCCTCGGAGATCCTGCGCCTGCGGGTGAAGGATGCGGTGCCGCCTCCCGCGGGTGGTCCCAGGGCGCTCGCAGCATGGGCCATTTTTTGAACGCGTCAGAGAACGTCACTCCATCCAAGACGGGGTAGTTCAACGAGTCTCTGAGCCACCACAACCAGGAGCACTGTTGGGTATGCGGGCTGCTGAGGCGGCTCCGCGCAGGCCGAGGGCTCTGCAGCCGCTGCTCGACCTCAGGTACGCAATCTGGGCCGCCCAGTTCTCCCAGGCCGCGGTCGATGTGGGCCTCGGGGCGCTCGGCCCCCCCCCCGCGCTGCATCAGCTGCGACACGGGGGGGCCGGCCAAGAGTTGGCTGAACGCGCCCGTCCACTGGCCGAGATCAAGAAGAGGGGGCGCTGGGCAGCCGACAGCAGCGGGCGCCGCTACGAGAAGAGCGGGCCCCTCCCGACCCAGCTGCAGCGGGCCTCCGCCGACGCTCAGCGCAAGGCCCACGCCGCCGCCAGCAGCATCGGCTCGAGGATCTTGAAGCTGCCGTCCAAGTGGCGAGAGTGACTGGGAATCAGATCGCGCTCGAAATACAATCGGGGTCTGGTCGCCTGGCCGCAGCGTGGAGACGCTGCCCCGCCCTTCGACATATGCCGATCGTCGAGATATATGTCAGACATGGGCCCCACTTCTATCTTCTGAATGGGAGTCTAGTCAGAAGAAGTCGGGGTTGGGTGCGAGCTGGACTCATCTCCTTTATCTGGCTCGCGCCATCCTGCTCCTCCTTCTCTGCCCTTCGTTGTCTCTTTTCCCCCGTCCGGTCGCGCGCCTTCCCTCTTGGTCTTCCCTCCTTGTCCCCCTCTGACCAGAAACAGTCAATGCCGCCAACAGTCTCTGCACAGTGGCGGCAAGCCTGCTCGACCTGCGCCGCAAGCTCGCGATCCCATGTGTTGTGGAGAACCCGCGCTCGAGTTTTGTTGTGGAGCGTTCGTGCTTTCGACCTCCTCTCGCGGTCGTCTAATATCCAGCGCTGCGTGACTGACTACTGCGCTTGGGGAGCTCCCTGGCGAAAACGCACCCGCTTCATGTGCGCCCACCTCGCTCGCCGATCCCTTTCAAGGAAATGTTCTGGCCGCGGAGTCTGTTCTTTCACCAGCAAAGAAACGTAGATATTATAGGTACTCACCCATGCGGCGTCACATACAGTAAACTAGCAGAGCCCTACCCCTCAGAGCTCTGCTCCGCCTTTGCGAGATGTGTGACCAACCAGTCTTTTCACACGCTTGCCAAACCATTCGGATGATTCAAGTGCTTGCGGCCAGGTGGTGCTTCGGAGCGATTTCGGAGAGGTCGAGCCGCTTAGCTTGAGGTCGAGTCGCTTAGCGTGGCCTGGTTTTTCTCTTCGTAGCCCGGCTGCCGGGCGAACTGCTACTGGAATGGCGTCTTTGCGCCCCACCTGGCCTCGAGAAAAAGTGGGCTCACATTGGAAGTGTTTAGCACGGTGTTGTTCGTTGATGTTTCGGGGGTGGGCCGTCTTGAAGGTCGCAGCGTCTCTCGCTCCGCGGCCTTGATTGCTCAAGCACCCTCCCAAGTATTCCCGCCCTGCGGATCTGCACAGAGGTTCGTGAGAGGTCGAGTCGCTTAGCTTGAGAATCTTCAAGCGTGGCCTCTGGTTTTCTCTCGTAGCCCGGCTGCCGGGCGAAGTGCTACTGGAATGGCGTCTTTGCGCCCCACCTGGCGTCGAGAACAAATGGACTCACATCTAAATGCAACATCCACGTTTTTTTGTTTAAATACGATCCGTTGGATTGACACGAGTATAATGGATGTGGTTTGCCTTACAACAGCCATGCCTTTTGAATATGTGGTTAATGTATTGTGTACAGGATCATACGATGTGACTCCGGACCCAGAGTCGACCTTGAAGAAGGTAGAAGCAATTGGCGAGTGCCAGAGTGAACACTGTCCCGGCAGGGTAGTGATGTTACTGCGCACCTGACTGCTTTCCTGACTGGGGATATTTAGCCCGCCGCATCAAGAGGTTCACGGTGATCAGCGGGACTACGCGATCCACCGCCTAGCTCGTGTCAAAGTTTCACGGGTGTGATATGGAGCATGTGTCACGTGTGACAGCGTTCCATTTGATAGAGCGTCGGGGTATTAATTGCGCGCGGCACTTGCCGTCTGGGTAAATGCGCCATTCGTTGCCGTTTGACCTCTAGTGGCCCCTTTTGCCATTGCGCTAAAACGTATCATACTATCAATGACGATGATGCTGTCTGATCATAATGCTGCTGATGATGATTAGGATGGTGATGATGATGGTTTTGCTGTTGATGCGTATGATGACGATGATGATGATGATTTTGGTGATGATGATGATGATGATGATGATGATGATGATGATGATGATGATGATGATGATGATGATGATGATGATGATGATGATGATGATGATGATGATGATGATGATGATGTGGTGATGATGGGATGCGAACCTTGTTTCTGAGGCCGTCGCTTGAACCTCCTGCAGGGCACGGTCCGCGTGAGAGGTGTGCCGGCGCAATGCGACGTTTCTTTGTCAGTGCAGTTACCTGCGGGCCAGCACGATTCGCGTGAGGGGTGTGCCGCTATGCGATGGGGCCGTGTTGGAGCTTTTTGTGGAGCACGATCTCTGTGCGATGTGTGCCGAGATGGGTGGGTGGCCGTAGGTAAGTGGAGCTTCTTAAGGTGAGGGCACGATCCGTGTGAAGGATGTGCCAACGTAGGCGGGAAGGCGCTATTCAGACATGTAAGGCCACGACAGCGCAGGTGTTCCCAAGTGGTGATCGCGGTAAGACGGCAAGCGAACCCATCCGCTGATTTGATGTGTCGCTGGCTCTGCTTCAGCTGGAACCACAGCGCGCGAAGCGCGCGCGTTGTTGCAATGGCTTTCTTGTATGCGTTCCAAGGTCTGCGGTCTTGGAGTACGGTGCAAACCACCATGGTTCGTGAGTCGCAGGCTTCCGCTCGGTTCTGGGTGCCGTACTTGTTTCGTCTTGTGCGTGATTGTCGGCCTCTTCCTGAGGGATCGGACGTGAGGGTCTGGCCACTGGCCTGTCATTCCGCAAAGCATCGAACGCGCCAGAGGAGGAGGAGGAGGAGGAGGAGGAGGAAGAGGAGGAGGAGAGGAGGAGGAGGAGGAGGGGGGAGGAGGGGGAGGAGGATAAGGGACAGTGGGGGATGGGGAGGATGGGTATGAGGGAGGAGGAGGAGGAGGAGGAGGAGGAGGATGGGGAGGGACAGGGCGGAGGAGGAGGACGAGGAGGAGGGAGAGAATGCGGACGAGGAAGAGGAGGAGGTGGAGGAGGAGGAGGAGGACCAGGAGCAGGAGGAGGACGAGGAGGAGGAGGAGAGGGAGAAATAGGAGTAGGAACGTACGTACGAATCAAGTTAGTCGGGTCGAACGATTCAGAGGTCCCCGCTTACTCTCACCCTCCCACAACAGAAGGGCCCTTGTGGCACAACTTGGTATTGGGATCGGAACGCGCTCCTAACGCAAGGCGCTCGCGCGCGGTCTCGCATCCGACGATTTGGCGAAGAGACAATACGCAAGCCGCGCGAAGGGCGGGATCGCCAATTCCGATGGGCGCGGCGCACGAAGCATGCGACGCGCTGGCGCAGGACTGCCTCTGTCACTCGCAAGCTGCGCGGCGTTTGGGCGAGGTCGTCATTTCGCCAGCTCTCGCGCGGCCCCGCTGCCGCTGTCGCGTCCATGCGAATCGGTGAACGAGCCACGCGCCACGCCCGCGCTGGAACGCCTCTTTCGAGCCCAGTGCGCACGGAGTTTGGGCAGGGGCCACAACAGGGCTCGAGCTAAATGGTGTCTCGGGCAATTCGTGGACCGTTTTTCCCTACCTAGGCTCTGCCTAGAAGGATTCTTACTCTGTTGGCTTAAAGGGGCCGGGCAGTGGACATCGCCCCGGGCGGTCCCCCCAGTCCCCTGGGAGCCAAACAAAAGCAACAGCAAAGGTAAAAGCAAACGCGCGGTTCCCCCAGTTGCGCTCCCTGGGTGCCAAGCAAAAGCAAAAGCAACGGCAAAGTGAAGGCAAACTCGAAGGCAAAGCAAAATAATAGCATAGCATAGCGCAGCATAGCATAGCGCAGCATAGCATAGCATAGCATAGCCTAGCCCAGCATAGCATTGCGCAGCATAGTATAGCATAGCATTGCATAGCATATCATATCATAGCATAGCATATCATAGCATAGCATAGCATAGCATAACATGGCGTAGCGCAGCACAGCACAGCATCCACCTCCTAGAGTAGGCTCCACCTCCTAGAGGCTCCAACTCCTAGGTAGGGTCGCACTGGGATACTTGTTTTGATTTCGTTTTGCAGCAACGTCGGAGCGAAAACAGAACGAGAACAACACGAGACTCAACGACCCCCCCCCCCAGAATTGGCCGCGTCGAAGCGGGAACGCCACTTTCAGGTGAATATGTTGCGCGCCGAGGCGAGAACGGTATGTTCGTCTGTTCGCGCGTCGACGGAGATTCATGCGAAAAATGTACGCCGCACCCAAACGGGAGTTCAATTCTCTAGAGGATTGAGAGCATCGCCGAGGAGAGAGTGGCATTCAGGCCTTTCCCGTGGAATGTGCGCACCGTCCCCTTCTTGCCGCGTCTTCCGCAGCATGTACAAAAACATGTCCATGTCGAAACGAAATACATGGATTTCACTTCTTTGTTTGACAGGTGCGATGGGACCCACTGGATCTGGTCGCAATCGGCCAGCTTGGCGGCAGAGTGGGGGTCTATTCCAACAAGGAATGAGGATAGGCGCATGTATAGGAGTCGGGGTCAAGTGAGCGAGGTCGAGCGAGTCCGTGGGCCCCGCCTATTCCCGCCCCCCTCCCGCAACATGAGAATCACATGTGGCAAATCTTGACATTAAGGGTTGGACTGCGTTCCCACCTCGCAAACGGACGGTGCTCGTACGCGGCCCCGCGTCCGACCTCTTGGCGAAGAACACACTCCGCGCGCTGGGCGGGGGGGGGGAGCGACACCAATTCCAGTGGACGTGGGGAAGGCGACCACGTTGACGCAGCACCGCCATGTTTTCGCACACGATGCGCCGCTTTTGGGCGAAGTCGGTGTTCTGCCGACTCTTGCGCGGCCCCGCCGCCGCTGTCGCTTTTATGTCATTCGGCGAGCAAGCCATACGCCGCGTCCTCATTGGAACGCCACATCCGAGCGAAATGCGCACGGCGCTTGGGCGAAAAAGACAAGTCGCCCATTCGCGCGACCCCCTAACAGTGGCGAGTGAAACATATGCGCTTCGTCGAGGCGGTAGCGCCGCTGTCAGGCAGCATCTGCGCGGCGTCGGGACACGAACCGCATTTTCGCCCGCTCGCGCGTGGACGAAGTTGCGTGCGAAAAACATGCGCCGCGCCCAATCGGGAGCTCACACTTCTAGACGAGTGATTGCGGCGCCGCGGTGAGTGCGGCATTTCGGCCTTTCGCGCGGGATGTGCGCTCCGCCCCATTCTTGCCACGCATTCTGCAATACTG